AATTCGTGTACTAAAGGGTCGTCCACTTTGGGCGCCATTACGGAAACGGGTCGACACTCTGTAATCTCCTCATAGACGGGCTCCGGTATGTTCAGGCCGTACGAGAAAGTCCAGCGTTGGATGTGTTGAAAATCGGTAGGCATTCCAATGTCGTCCTTATCTAACCCTACACTCGACTTATGAGACTTTTTGGGTCGAGTGTTGACCCGTCCCGTCCCGCGGGGAGGCTTTCGGGGAACTGTATTACAATTCCCAACATTTATTATATAGTTATCGACGTCTTGTAAGGGGACAGTCATGTCTAGCAGCGACACAGGTGGTTGTGATGGCTGTGTGGGTCCGGCGATAGGGACTGGTATGTCGTGTCAAAAGTATTTCATTAAATAAATTAAATTAAAATTTTATAAATTTTTAAAATACTTTTCAATTTAGTCCTCAATTCTTGCAACAATAGGTCATTCGAGTGGTCAGACCTCAAGGACGAGGATCTACTTTTGGGCGCCTGGTCCTCGATATGAGTTTTCACATCCATGTGCTGTATGTGCTGGAAATTAGTGGGCACTCCGATGTCATCGGGAGTTAAGTGTATTTTATCGTAGCTTTTGCCGGAGTTTATGAATGACCAACAGTTGGACATAGTATGTAGGATAGGGAACGGTAGCTAATTGTTAGGTATTGTTATAAATAAAAAATAAATTTACAAATTTTAATATTTTTATAATGATAATAAATTATATAAGTTAATTAATATACAGTATTAATATACTGTACATACCTTTTTAAATCTTATGAATGTTGTTACTAGTACTAAAATGTTGTCCAAATGTTTAAAATTAATATAATTTTTATTTACTATTACTTTAATACGAGTGCAAACTATTTTCACCATTTATTCACTTTTACTTTCAAACTATTAAATTACTAAATGACTTAACAGTATATTATATTCAATACAAACAACATACACAATATTATTGAGATATTTTGTTAAGTAACCAAAAGCTGTTTTAAAAAAGTACATGTACCTTTTCGCTATAAAATACACAATAAGTGTATTAATAACTCGTTTTGTGAAAAACATATTTAATTTCATTGGAAACTGAAATCACATTAATTACTATAGAAAATTGATTTTTAATTACAATGTGTGTTAGCATTGAAAATAAATTATATGCGAATTACTATTTTTCTACTAGCTAAAGTTTTTCTATATACAATACTTATTAAAAATTTAACTTGTTACTTTAATTAAAGCATTTTGATTATAACATGTCAAGTGTTGTGACCTTTAGGTCAGCCCGTGTAGCGCAGCGGATAGCGCGTTGGACTTCTAATCCAAAGGTCCGGGGTTCGAATCCCCGCTCGGGTGCTTACTTTTTTACATTGATACTAGAATTAAGTTAACTTTTTTTGTATTTTAGAATTAATCTTGATATCAGAGTTAAAACATATAACCTATTACAGTTTATTATTTTAAAATTTTCTAAAATTAAATGTTATATTAAATATTATATAGATTATGTACCAAAAATTATTGATCAACTTACTACAAACAAATTTCATATTTATATAATTTATTGATTATGTAATATAATAGAGTGCTATTATACACCGAAAATTTTATGCATAATCATATAATGCAGTAAATTAAACACAGTTAAATATTTATGTAATATTAAATTTTATCCATAATACAGTATATTTATGCACACATTATGTTATACAATTTAAATTGGGATTTTAAAATATAATTTATTTTCAAAAAAAACTTGTTACAATTAATTAGTAAATTATATAAATTCAATTAAAACATATTACATCGATGTGTAAAATAAGGATTCAATCGTAAAACTCTTTATTTTTTCTGTACATCGGGTGCACACCTCCATCGCCCCCGAGATACCTATCATCCCCTTGTGGTTTGTAAATAGGATGTACACCGGGATCACCGCCTAACATTTGATCATGCGACTTTTGTGGTGTAGCTAGAAACAATTGTTTTAAATGTTGAATCAGATCATTAAATAATTTCAAAAATAATTACAATAATTAGCTAGTTACAAAATTCTGCTACACATACCTGACAGCCATAACTTCTTGTTGGGTGCGTATGGGGTACGGGAGGTATAGACATACTCATCGGAGTCCTCATCGAATTCAAACTTATCGTTTCTAAACATAGGTCGGACACCAGGCTTACCTCCAAGCATACTATCATCTTCATGGCGATCCCCATTACCTCCCTGTCCCTCATTATTAGTTAACAGTTCGCTTATGGCACCACTTGCGTAATTTGATATACCACCCTGATCGCCATCATTAACACTATTATCATTGTTATGTGAGTTATAATCATGGTGGTGGTGGTGGTGGTAGGGTTGCCAGTCGTAGTCATGGTGATGGGAAGGGTAGTGTCGCGGTATATATTGGTGATTTTTATACCGGTGCCCTCGATACCGGCGCTCTGGATACCGGTGTTCTCGATACCGGTGCGGTTCGTAACAGTGAACTGTTGTTATTGATATAAGACTGAGAAAACATGTGATATATTTGATAAACATTGTTATTTAATAATCACATTTAATTAAAAATGGCGTTCAAGTTGTTATATTTCATAGACTGTATTAAAATTATTTATTAATATTTATAAGGTAATTTGTTAATGATAATTATTTATACTCATAATGATGCTCATAATACAAAGTTTTTATTTTAAAACTATTAATAATACAGATCTGTATATATATTAGTAATACAAAAAAATTATATAAAAAATTATCAGAAAACATAATATTACATTGATATTAATTTCAACTTGATGTGTTAATATAAAATAGTTTTATTAATTTCAATTAATTATAAAGAGTTTATTATTAAAGGTGTTATAGATTAAAAGATTAAAAGTGTTTATTAAAATAACAAACTTTATATTAACCTCAAAAAGTAATGTAATGACGAAATTATTTTTAATTAAAAATTACAATTATTAAATTAATATTTTAATTTTCAAAAACATACGCATTTTTGTATAAATTAATTTTTCAAAAATGAATAAACTATTTGTACTAGTCCTATTTGCAACTATTATTGTATTTTAATTAAAAATTACAATTATTAAATTAATATTTTAATTTTCAAAAACATACGCATTTTTGTATAAATTAATTTTTCAAAAATGAATAAACTATTTGTACTAGTCCTATTTGCAACTATTATTGTTTGCGCTACAGCCGGTAATTATAAACACAACTATACTAGATAAATTTACAATTAATGTCTTTATAAAATTACCTAATTATTTATTTTTGTCAATTTATCTAGCACTAAACATATGCAAAGGTCAATATGAAGAATATGAATGTGGTACTCTATGTCCAAAATCGTGTGCCACCAAGGACATTATGTTCAAGTGTACATCCGGGTGCCAGAATTCATGCTTTTGTAAGCAAGGTTATATAAGGAATGACAGCTTTGTGTGCATTAAAGAAACTGACTGCCCGCCCCCTAAACCTATAATTAATCACCATCATTAAAAATATAAATTAATTAATTATATCAGAATAAAAATGAATTTGAATATTTATTTATTAAGATACAGATATAATTTGTTGTTAATTAATATGAAACATAATAATATTTGAATAAAATATCTTATTTATAATTAATTGTAAGATATTAAATAAATATTTTTTTGTTTAAATTATATTTATTTTTATGTAGATTTTTGTGGTTTTAAAAACTTTATAATTTTATAAATAAAAACTAATAATTTAAAATTAAATGTTATTTAAAATAATGTAATTCATAATTATGAAACCCATATTGGTTTAATCAAAGTGTAAAATAAATATATTAAAATATTAAACAATTTTAAATATACACTATTATAACACGAAAAATGTCAAGATAAATTTATACTATATATAACGGGATAAACACAAAATACCGATACTCTGTTTTCCCTTATGCAAACCTGGATAAACCCGGGTGATATTTTAATAAAAAAATTATTTGTTAAAAAATTAGTGTTTAAAATGAATTTAATAAATTATTTCATAACACATCTATATAATTATATAATAATTCATTGTAATTTTAATTGCATATACTTTATAAAATGATAAATTTAAAAATGTTTTTAGCTTATAATTAATCAATAATTATTTAAAATATCCTGTTCATTATCTAGTATGTTTACAAATTTTTAAATTATGTTTTCAAATTATGTAGATTTTAATACATGCTAAAATAACAATATAATGAGCTAATCCAAGGTTAAATTTATTTTTATTACGTTTCGTACTCATACTACCAGTCCTATGGATACAACCACTCATACCCAATAGCTTCGGGTACAAAGTCTATGCACCGATAATACACATGTCATACAAATAGTTGTATCATAACTACTTAATGTACTCATCGAGACAATACATACCGTTCCCCTCACTGTATGTGCAGCTTATGTATGAACTGTAAATGAAAAATAATAAATAATTTTTGTTGCGATGCAAATAAACAACACAAAAAATTAATTATCAGTTTTTAAACGCTATAATAGACTTTGAAATCGATATAAAAATTGTTTTATTTATTTGTTATAGAGTTTACACTTTATACTCGTGGACAAGTTAAGTTATCAGTGAAAATTTTGTGATCATATCAAAAATATTTATATAAAACTAAAACGGTTTGAAACCTAAAAACATATTTGAAGTCTAATCAGCGAAAAAGTTATTTATTTTCGTTATTATTATTATTATTTTCATTAAATATATAAATAAGATGTGATTTCGACGTAAAAATCTATTTTTATAAAAGTTTATTAAATAACTAGAAGTTTAACCAATTTTTGGGCTTGAACATTTTTAAGTGCTCCTTGATAATTATTATATCTTATAAGTTTTGTTTATGTAATAAGTATTTATTATGAATTATTCATGTGTTGAGAGTTTTGTGAAATTAAATTCACGTAAAATTATTAAATACTCGGCGATACTGACGGTGCTATTGGCTATATATTTAGCACCGGTAGGTGACTATATGATTTCTGGACTTAAGTATTTGCCCGGATACTACCATGACCTGGATACTACTCGAACTTCCGTATGAATTTTAGAAATATTTTTAATTTATTTACCAATAAAATTTTAATTCGGATAAAATGTAGCTAGCAAAAATTATATTAGTATACCTTGAATACTAATTAGATGCCGTTTTTAGTTAATTATAATTTAACTATTTATTAATTATTTAAAATTTTAGAGACAAAGAGCAGTGGTATTTGATTTCATAAATTATTTTATATAAACAAATCGGTGTTCAAAGTGTCGAAAATATTTACACATTTATAGCTATAATGCAATAATTTCTCATAAACTGTATAATCAAACATAAATTTATTACACAATTTATAGTCCAATGTCTGAGACTTACATCCGTTTTGAGTACTTATTAATCAAAACAATTAAAATAAATCAAATATCTTAATATAATACTATATTACTGTAAACCATAGCACCGGTATGCTCGTAATTATCATACAATAGTGTTTATACTAATAATTTCTTATTAATAACTTTTTTATAACAGAATATTCTGTATATTTTAGGTACAAATCATAGAATCTCGTGGTTTTCAATCGGAAACACATTACATAACCACTGGTGACGGCTATATACTAACTGTCCACCGGATAGTCAACCCATATCTTAAAGACAGGTCATCCTTAAGGCCAGTCCTACTACAGCACGGCTTTCAGAGCTCCGATAAGGGTTGGCTCATCACCTCAGCCGGCAAACTGAATATCAATGGCGAGTACAGTGAGACAACCCATATCTTAAAGACAGGTCATCCTTAAGGCCAGTCCTACTACAGCACGGCTTTCAGAGCTCCGATAAGGGTTGGCTCATCACCTCAGCCGGCAAACTGAATATCAATGGCGAGTACAGTGAGGTGGGACGAGAGGGAAAGGTAGGCAATACCTTGCCGTTCGTGTTGGCCACACAGGGATATGATGTCTGGTTGGCTAATATGAGGGGAAATGTATACTCACTTAACCATACCGTGTATACGAGTAAAGGTTTGTGTATATATTACATTGGATTTAAATATATTTATTATATTTATTTATTATATATTTAAATTTTAAAAATAATTCATAATTAATATAACATTATATTTAATATAAATAAATTTAAAACTGCAATAAATAATTACTACTAAATTTAGTATAATGATATAAGTAGCAAACACTACTCATTGGATATTCAGATGTTTACAACAATAACAATAATAACTTTTTACAAAAATAATTATTAAAGAAAATTATAAATATTTTATGAAACATAATTTATCAAATTGTTTATCAATTTTTCTATTAATATTTTCAAAACACAAAATAACAAAACCTATCCAGGGCAATCATGTGAATCATATGATGTGATAAAGTCATTGATACTTATAATGAGTGCAACGAATTGTGTTTATATTTAATTCATACAATACTTACGAAAGTTTGAATGAAATGTACCGTAATTTCCGAGTGATAACCACAAGTGGTTTAGCAAACACCGGACAAAACAAATACATGTATCCAAAAGTCAAGTGTATGAGTCATAATATGTATAAAATAGAGTTTATTATTAAGTTTAAAATTATTTTACTATGTTTTTAAGTAATAAATTAAAATTATCAGTCAATGTAAATGAGAATTCCATTATAGTAATAATATAGTAATTATAAATAATTACTATTTTATTACTAATTAGTTGTGTACAGTTTTAAATATATATTAGAACATACATTAACACAATTTTTTATCTACAACAATTACTAATGTTATAGTTATTAGTAACTGGGCTCTGTAGCCCATGAATGTTAATCTAATAATTAGAATAATATAATTTTTTTTATAAATTTTATTTTAAAATCTTTAACATTATTTTATTATATCTCATGGTTTAGACACAGAATTCTGGAAGTTCTCTATCGATGAGATGATTGACTACGACCTACCGGCGCTCATACAACACATACTCACCACCACTCATAAAAGTAATATAAATCACATAAAATAAAATATATGTTTAATAGAAACTGTAAACAAAATAATTATATTTTCTTAATTATATATAATAATTAAACATAATAAATATCGGTTAAAGTACACTACATTATTTACCCAACATTCTAAATTACCAAGGAGCTAAATAACTTATTTACAATTATTTTTAATTTTACCTTTCAATAATAATAATTTTATCAACATTTTAACATTGATACAATAATTTAGCATATACAAATAAAATTTAAACATTTATAAAAATCTACAAAATTTAATTTTGTCTAAAAGAGACCCTGGGCTATATCGGTCACAGTAAGGGTACGATTATGATGTTCGGACTGTTGGCCTCCAAACCACAATACAATGCAATAGTGAAGCCATTCATAGCCCTATCGCCCGTCTCATTCATCTAAAAGAGACCCTGGGCTATATCGGTCACAGTAAGGGTACGATTATGATGTTCGGACTGTTGGCCTCCAAACCACAATACAATGCAATAGTGAAGCCATTCATAGCCCTATCGCCCGTCTCATTCCTGGGTCACGCGACAACACCCCTACAATTCCTCACCTATTTTGAGGGTCTCTACAGGTGTGTGCATTTTTTAAATTTAAACATTTATGTTTGTATAATAAATTTGTATTTTCTGTGCTGACCTAGATCATATCCCACATCACTGTTGCATATGGGAAAAGTGCAAGAGGTTTACGCCCAGTTATGCGAAAACTATTTTATGCAGACTATATGCCAAAGAATATTCTACGCTATTATGGGTTTCGGTGAACAACACTTTGATTATGTAATTATTATTAAAATAATATGCTTAGCTAGCTAATAAATTGAAAATTATCAGAATTTTTGAAGATTAAAAATATTCAGTAAAAAATTTTCATTTAATATTTAATTTGACATGCTTAATAATTAATTATAATTTAAATAAAATTTAACATTAATAATCTAAAAAACTATGCTCTTTAAACATTTTATATTTTAAAACAATTTTTTTAAATTGTGTTACATTAGTCTAGGGTGGGTTCATATTTATCAACGATCCCCGCGGGGTCGGGCACGTGGGCGGGGACACACCTTCTGCAGAAAATGATAGCCAAAAGACCCGTAAAATTCAATTTGGGAACCGAAGAGAATATCCGCCGATACGGACAATCAGTTCCCCCGGAATACGACTTATCGGTCATAAACTCGACAAACATTGCACT